TTTATTAATAAAAGAGTATAAGTGGGTTTTATAAGCTTTAAAGATGAGCAAGAAAGGTCCCCAGTTTCATTTTAATCATGATCTGTCACAATTATTAATTCAATTGAGTCCTACATTTATCAAAATTATTGCATGGTCTGATAATGAATGTAAGCTATTTTTTACTATCACTTTTCTTTATAATAAAATTAATTTCTTTTATAAATTAAATTTTAATTGCTTACTCAATAAGAATTGTTGACTATATTGAAAAAGTAGATTCATCAGCTTAAAATGTCAAATTACTTGTTTATGCAATTTAGTCAAAGATAATAGATTTATTTATTTATCCAAAAGTCTAATTGTAAAATCTTTTGAAATTAGGTATAGTCTTTTTCAGATTAAGACGTTTAATATCTTCACGTTTTATTATATCGGCAAATTTTTAATAAATATGATCATTTTTAATTATAAAATAAACAAGCTAATATAACGAATAACCCAAACTATTAAATTATGTAGCGGGTCATAGACCATCTTTGTAAATAAATAAATGGTTACTGCTAGATCACATAGTATTTGATTGAAAATATTTCTTTACGTACATTTCTTTAGGATTATTTTTAAATTTCTTAAATGAGCACTACATTACAATAAATTGCTATTAATATTCTCAATGTTATCTAAGTTTCTATTTTTAAATTAAAATTTATTATTTTTTGTCAATTAGTGATTCTTTTTAGATGTAGATGGTTGACAGCCGTTATAAATATTAATTGCATTAGCCGCACCATCCCAAGACTGTCGCCCAAATAAACGATACTAAAGTCCAATAAATAATTAATTAAACATATAAGCGCTAAAGACACATTTTCAGCTTCATGTGGTGAATAAATAAACTTGCCTGGATAGCGGTAGGGACACCAAATAAAATTTTCCAATACATACTAATTCCATATTTCCATATAGTTTGCAATGGATACGGATAACAACCTAGATCTTTTGCTGAATGAGAAAAAGATAAAATGCTATTAATATTATAGTAATCAGTTACTACATATGAAGGCAGATATAGTACCTAAATTATCCAATTCCTGGAAGTAATCTCCTTGAATTGTATGCCTTGCCGAGGTATAATAACGTTTTTGTAACGATGCTTGATGTTCTTGAATTTCTTTGTACATTTTGGAAATAGGTGGATGTGTTGGTATGTGACCAGTGATTAGACTTGTCACATAACGTGCTTGCATTTCGCTTAAGGGAAAGATCGCACCTATCAACTGAACCAATCCAAGGAAAGCAATATTTGGATATTTTGGTGGAAACATTCTCTTATATAACCAAACCAAATTCTCTCTATATTCTTCATCAAACATTTTTAAAATTTCGTCACCACCATTAACAACTTCACTATTTAAAAATGGAAATTCAATTTTATATCCGGTAGCATATATTATGGCATCAATATTTTCGACTTTAGTTTTGTCAATGAATTCAATGGAATTATCCTTGTTCAACCGGAAGATGTTTGGTTTTACGATAATTGTTCCATTTGAAAGGCAGTCGTAAAAATTTGTTTTAAGAGTTGGATGAGAATTGGATGGATTAGTTTTTGGTTCCAGGTCTGGTATTGGAGAAGGACCAATTGTAGTTTTTACTGTACGTTTGGTAAAATAGTCTTTAATAAATAAAGGTAGCCATGTGGTGTAAAAACGGGAATTGTGGTGATCAATAGGCTTTCCACGTAAAAGTCTTGGCAAAATCCATGGTAACGTTCCTTTAATTATAGAAAGGACAATATATTGAATATGACATAAATAATTAATGACATAAACTTGAAATTTCGCATACCTCGACGAGTGCAAACGTAAACTTGCGATGCGACCCCAGACAATTCCACAGAAATATCCATTCCACTAAAAAATATTATTATAAATTTACCAAATTTAATCATAAATTGCATAATGTAATTCATACCTGTTTCCACATCCTACAATAACAACACGTTTATTCGCAAAATCAGAAGGCACGCGATAAAAATGAGAATGAATTTGTTTCCCTTGAAATTGATCCATTCCTTGATAATTTGGCAATCGTGGATATCTATGATGACCAGTGCAAACCATTACGTAATCAAACACCTGCTCAGTTTCTTCTTCGCCTTTAGTGATATATCGAACATTCCAACGTTTATCAGGAAGAATTGTCAGGTTCAGGACGGTTGTGCTAAATTTTATGTGAGGAATAAGCTGAAACTTTTCTGCGTACATATCAAAGTACCTGCAATATTAGAAGATCAATATTATCATAATGAGATGTTTGATATAGAACCGATAATGAAATTATAAAATAAATACTTGGCAACAAGTTTGTTGTGTAAATAATAAGGCCAATCTCTAGATATTGGAAAATCAGAGAATGACATCTATGTTTCGAAACCTAAGACGATTAATCAAGAACTTTTTGTAAAGAATTGGGAAGAAATAATTATGCCAACTTATGCTGAAATTTGGGCTACCATTTAAATTATAACGCTCTTTGATTAACAACTCTAACCCTAAATCTTAACCTAGCTTCCAAAAAAATTTTGGTCAAATTTTAGCATAAGTTGCCGTACCTACAATTTCTTTACTGGTATTAATGACCACGCTATTATAGCATGAAGAATGTGGGTCATTATTTTCTTCGTTAATTTCTGTATAACGCCAAAGTCCAGCGGTATATGAGGTTGCTTCAAAACATACCGGCTCTAGATTATCGGCAATACATTGCTTAATGGATGTAAGCCCCGTTGGACCTATTAACTATGTTAGAATGTGAAAGATATAAAGGATGATACTCATGAGGCAAAAAAAAGGGTATTACCTGCACCAATAATTGCAACTTGAGGTTTAGACATCTTTTGCAAAACTTTTATCGGAGTTTTTTATCTTTTCTTACTCTTAGGAGAATGAGAAGAAGCAATCAAACTTATATAACTTTCAGTTTAATTTTTAATTCATTAAAGATCGGATTGAAAGAATATCTATTCGATCACGCATTAAATTAATACTAAGAAATGCATCGCATTGTGTGTCCAGAGCAAACCACAAGTTTTTTTTATAGTATTTATCAATACGCACAACATCATGATAACATACTGTACTTTTAAATTATGTAAACAAATAACGATAATAAACAAATATGTGTGAATTAAAAATTCGATGATCCTTTGAATTAAAAATTTTTTGAATTAAAAATTTTTTATATTAAAAATTTTTATATTAAAAATTTTTTATATTAAAAATTTTTTGGGTTACAGCTGTTTTCATTATTTTTGGGACAGCTTAAAAATTTTTGACGATAAGTTACCAAGTCGGAATAATAAGTAACCGACATCAGCCGACATCAAAAACTTATCGATTCAGTCATCAACAATTATTCAAAATTCCCAAAAATAATGAAAAACTGTAAAAATTCGATTGCGCAACGTGCGTTACAGCGGAGTCACGGAAGGTTCCATAAGTCCTTGGCAGGGTGTGCGCAAATACATACATCTGATTGGTCATCCTATGACATATCCGATCATTTTTACCTAATATGGTTTATGCCGTGTACCGTAACTCCGTATCCTGTACAAGATCTGGTCTGGTACGCACGTACGTACGTTTTTAAAACCCATAATACGTAGACTCTACGTATTATGGGTTTTAAAAACGTACGTACGTGCGTTAGTGATATGGGCCGACCTGGCCCCATCGGCCGGGCCGACGGCGGGCCGAGGGTTGACCCGCAACTTCATGGGCCGGGGCCGATTAAGATAAATTAAATTTTTTTTGTTAATAAAAAACTGTCAATAACTATATTATAATACTGTATAAATTTATTAATGCATCATAATATTGTGAATTAAACGTTATTATTGGATTATTATAAGTTTTTTTACTTTTTGCAAACCGTTGTCAATTATTATTATACAGGTTACTAATTACCTACCTTATATGGCTCTTCTGCGCACACATAACACATGACATTTCCTAACATTGTTGATTTGATCTGTTCAAAAAGTAAGGTAATTAAATTTATTGTCGCGCGTAAATTCTGAACATGAAGGAGGTAATTATGACAAAATTAGTAAAGCTGCACTAAAGGCTGTGAAATTTACGTATTGTTGATCTAATCATCTTCGAATTCACACGAAAAAGAATAAAAAAAAAAAACTATTATTATGAATAAAATCAGATGAAGAATCGGAAATAGGAAATATTGAACAATACTTTCCATTCAAAGCCCCAAATCAAAATTACTGTGAAATTTTTAATTATTTCTTGAATTCGAATAGACAAAATAGAATGTGATAGAAGGTTTTGTGAATTTATAAATATATGAAAATTGAGAATCATCAATAGTTCTGAGCTTATCTATAAAATTCTTCGACTCTATTCTATAAAGTATTATTTTGATATTGCGTATCTTCTGTATCTAATAATTGTTATCATAAAAAGCTCTCCTGAAATTAATTCACTTAATAAAAAACGACTTCTTAAAGGTCCAGGCTTTTTTTTTTTTTTAAGCTTCAATTGTTACCTAAGATTTCAATAAAAAAAAAAAACTTCTATTATGTTTATGAAAAAGCATAATACTTGCTCTAATAAAAAAGATCAAGATCACAATACTTCCAAATTGTCAGAACCTTAGAATACAAATGATACTGAATTATTTGAAAATTGACCTAAAAAAAATGCATAAAGTCGAGCAATTAGTGCAAGATTCTGTAACGGAAAGTGAGAACGAAATTGATGAAATTGATGAAATTTCAAGCCATCAATCCTATGATTTAGCATCTCATTCATTTTATGAATCTCAAGAACAGCCTGAAAACTCAAAGGAGTTATGTTTAAGTGAGGATTATAGATGAATTTCTCTTGATCACTCGTTAAAAGCTCCAAGTGTTAAGATATTAACAAACAAGGTAGTTAAATCAGGAAAAGTTAGTTGGGTTTGGGACCATATGAAAAAGGATAAGTCAGTAGGGGAAGTCAGATGTGATGTAGTTATATTAGTAAATGGTAATAAAAAAAAATGTGATAGTGTTTTTAGTATTACAACTTCAACTACACACCTTGGTGAACACCTTAACACAGTTCATAGAATTTTTCATTACCAAAAATACAAAAAAGATTTACAAGGGCAAAAAATATTAGAATCCAATCAATCAATTCAAATAATACCTTCAATGCTTGCAAAAATGGGTTCACATAAACCAGAAAAGCAATGATAGTTATTGTTTTATTTGACCACATGGATTGTTGAAGATTGTTAGCCTTTAGCTATTGTAGAAGGACAAAAATTTTGTCAATTTTGTAATGAAATGGATCCTCTTTTTAAAGTTCCTAGTTCATTATTAATTAGAACCAAAATTGAAGAATCTTTGGTTTTTGCTGAACATCAATTACATAAATTATTATTTGAAACAATAGAATCATTCACAACAGATTTATAGACAAGTATGCATCATCTTATATTGGTGTAACAATTTATTGGTTTTCTAAAAACTTTTGTTTGTATCAGGCAATTTTTACTATTGATGAATTTTCATATTCACACTTAAGAGAATGTCTTGAACAATTTTTGTCTAAACTTTTTAATCATTGGAATATAAGTAACAGGTTGATTTGAGGAACTACTGATAACAATAAATTGATCATAAAAGAAATGCATCTTCTTGAAACATCTCATATCAGATGTACTGCCCATACTATACAGTTAGCTATAAAAGATGGTCTTAATGCATGTGATAATCTATTAATCAAAGTAAAAAAATTAAATAATTGGTTAGTAAAATGAAATAGATACCGTCAAAGTCTTTGTGTATTCAAAATGAACTTTTTCAACTATCAGCAGATAGCTTAGAAGATTTGGAATGGCTATTATTAGGTGATGATGACTCTGAATCAGAATGTGATGATCTGTTCAAACTATTAGCCTGGTGGAACTCCACTTATTTCATTTTAAAAAGGCTAGTTCAATTAGGAGATCCTGTAAAACAGCTCACAAAATTTTTAAGTCGTCATCCAGATTAACAACAAAGAAAAGATGGATGAATTTTAAGTGAGAAATTGGTATCAAAATCTGAATAGAATGAGTTGAATGAATTAATATTACTTTTATCACCCTTTGCACAATTAACCAAATTAATTGGAGGTGTGCAATACCCAACTCTTAGTATAATGCTCTCTACTATTTTCTTTTTATCCTCATATTTGCATCATACAAAAATATCTTTTATTTTACCTAAAATTTTAAATGCTTGCCAACTAATCGAAAACTCTATATCTACTCATTGGGATTTATCTTTAACTAAAGCTTATATTGCTTCCTATCTAGATTTTCAATTCAAAAACTTGTCCTTTGCTAGCAATGAAAAAAAAAAAAGAGTTTTAGATTTACTATCTAATATGTTAGAATCAATCAATATTAATATTAATATCCCAGCAAGAACTAAAATGGATTAGTTTTTTGATGGTGAAGTTTCTAATCCTGCAGTAAATAATAAGTTAGAAAGATATGAAAAAGTAATTCTACTTTACTAAAGATCCTCTCTATAAAATATATAATCCTCTTACTTTTAGCATACAAATCAGAAAGATTATCCAAATTTAGCAGTACTTGCATATAAATTTCTCTTATTCCCGGCTACTTCAGTGCTTTTTGAATGATTATTCTCTGATGTAGGGAATGTTCTAACAAAAAAATACAATCAGTTAGATCCTAACCTAGTTCATAATATACTATTTTTAAAAACCAATTCTATGCTTTTTAATGTTTATCCTGGGCTCAAATGAAAATTTTATTAAAATCAAAATACATTATAGTTTAGGTTGATAAAAATAAAAAAAATTAAATTCGATAAATTTGTCAATTTGGATAAAATTTTGCTAAGTCAAAAATAAAATATTTTTATGCATAAATATTTGCTTAATAAAGTCAAAAAATATACATTAAAAGTTGAGACAAATAATACAAATAAGTATAATGATAAGGTACTTGAAGTAAAAACATATCAAGTATGTATATACATACATGATTATATATAAATTTAAATTTAATGATTTGATTGGTCAAGATAATCGGCACTGTTGACTGGGCCACACTATATTAGTTTCAGCCCTGACACAAAGCTTTGTTATTAGCCCATATCACTCCTTACTACCTGGATCACCAATGCTAATTTAGAGTAGAAAAAACTTTTTCACGCCCAAAATATAGAAAATATTAAAGAAGTCAGACAACAAATATCAAAGCCTATTGACAAAAGATGCTCTAAACTTCAGACTCACCTTACTTCAATGATTAATAGTATTTTTAATCAACATAAAGACTCTGTCAAATTTAACAATATATATTTCAACAATGATATAATTACTGACCCTCCCACTATCAAAGCACATATTCAACAGCACTTTGACAATTGGACTGCCTCTTGTTATATCAACTTCTTTAATATTTTCTATATTTTGGGCGTGAAAAAGTTTTTTC